GAGCAGTGCGTGGGAGCGTCCCCTCCCCCCCAACATGTGGCTACCTGCGAGGCGCTCTGCCCCCAACGGCCAGCGGCGCCCGCGAGCCCCTCCCTAGCCGTGCCTGGGGGGTGACGTTGTGCCCCGCCCCCACCCGCGTGGCGGAGGTGCCCCCTAGCGGCGGCGCGGCGCGGCGCTGGGCACAGTGCGGGCCCCTGGCTGCGGGGAGGAGTCGCCCCCGCGCTAAAAATAAAAGGCAGCGGCTGCGCGCCCTATAAGTCCTGCCCGTGGGGGCCGCCGGCCCGGGCCGCCCTTTCCCCGCGGGCCGGCTCGGGTTCGTCTCCCCCGGCTGCAAACGCACGAAGCTGCGGGGCTCGGAGCCGCCGGGGCGGGGACCCCGTTACCCCGCTCGGGGTAGTGGCGCGGGCGCCTTGGGGCTCCTCCATGGGAGGGTTTGTTTCTGCTCCTCCTGCTTCGTCATTTCTTGCCGTCGGGTTCACTTTGACTTTGAGGGCAAGGCCACGCTGGCCTCCCACTGCTTTCGTGGTCTCCCTTCATTCACCCTTGCTCCAAGTGCAGGTGACTTGGATAAGTTCTCTGAAGAAAAGTTTCAGACTAGTTTCAGGTGCCAGATCCATCAGTGAGTCTTGTTGTCTTTTTAAGTCCTTTCACGTTACATCTTAATACCTATTTTCCGGGGGTAGGGAACAGCACAGGCTACAGACAGGGAGCCTGGCTGACTGTATGCAACATGCTGCCAGTTGGTACATACAGAGCAAAGAAAATCTATTTTTTCTCTGTAATTTCCTTCTGCTGTAGTAATTTTAGGTGTGACTGGTAACACTATCAGATGAAGACATTGCAGGCAGAAGTGCAAGGCTGACATTGCCCTTTCCGTTCAGTTGCTCATTCTGCATGTCGAGCAGACCTAGTGTCTTTTAGTTTCCACAAGTGGAGGGGTGTTTTAATAAAAAGTTAGTAATTGAAGTTGCAGAAAAATTCCAGGAAATCTGGAAGAAATCTGTTAGTGTTTGGTTTGTGTTGCAGGAGGTAACAAAGATTCAGGACTGGACCCCAGTGCCACAGAAGAAAACTACTCTCAAACCTCTTATTGTTATTAATGGGTGATACATAGGCTTCTGACAGATGTTAAATTAAAGGTGAGAAGGGCTCTGATGCAAAATCCCAACAGGAGGTGTCATGGTGGAATCCAGCATCGATCCCATTGCATCGTATCACCAGCACTGGGGGAGCTCTGGAGGGGTGCCCTGATCAGCTACCAGCTGCTGGAGCCTGCAGGAGTCTGGGAGCGCTGGCCACGGATTCAATTAAAGGCATGATAGGAACTGGCTACAGTTATTACACAGTTTATGTGATAACTTTGTGGCTTATTCCTCATTTTATTGTGCTGTTAATTGAATGAATGAGTGGCTAGGTTACCACTTAAGACATGACTGAACACTCAGTGGCTCTAGAGAGACCAAGTGTTCAGCTGATTTAAAAAATGGCTTTCACTGAGCTACAATAGTTTTTTTCAAGTTGAGGATCTGGTTATTAATAACCCAAACTATGACAGTTAAGGATGTTTTTAGCAGTATCATTTATTGAACCAGCTGTATAGTTGGGAGAGATGTTAGATGCACTTCTGGGCAAATAGTGACTTGAAAAAGGCACTTTGTGCTTCAGCCCTTCATATCTGACCCTTCACAGCATCTCCTGGAAGCAGGTGGTGGGGCAGGTGGAGCTGTCCTGCCTGCTTCTGTTTGGGAGGAGTGTGGGCAGGGAGGGTTACAGCAAAAGCAGACTCTCTTGCCTGCTTTAGGTTTATCAGATAGCCCTAATCTAATGCAGAAGGAGTACCTGCTCAAGCACTGCCCTTCTCATCTGGCTGGGCATGAGGCACATGGGGCACTTGTACCTGGCTGTGGTGGCTGTGCCTGTGCAGCAGTACCCCTGAAAGGGTTTTGCACAGGAGTGGACAGTTATTTGGGCTGGAGGGCCACTTAGCAAGTATTGGGGAGCTGTTGCGAGCTGGGTCAGCAACCTCCCCCCCCCCCCAACACCTCCTGCAGCAGCTCACCAAAAGTCCCTAAGTTGCTTTGCCCCGGGACCCAAGACCAGCCCGGAACATGCTCTAACAGGGCACGCTTGGCTGGGCAGTGGGATGGGGCTGCAGCCTGGCAGGGAGTGGCATTCGAGAGCAAGATAGGTAGGCAGGGCCGTGATCTTGGGATGGTGATGGCCAGGGCCCAGAGCAGAGCTGTGATCCACTCCCAGTATGCCCCTGCCTGCAGAAACGGCACTCATCGCAGGGATTTGTGGACAGTAGATTGTGTCTTTGCCTCAGACTGCAGCCCCAAACTGTCACTGCCCCAAGATCCCAGCTCTGCCCGCCTGTCCCACTCCTGGATAGCACTCCCCACCTACCTGTGGCCCCATCGCATCTGCCTGGCTGAGCATGCCCTGCCCACACAGGTCCCAGCTCCATCCCCATGGAGACCTCATCAGGCGCCCCCAGTGGTGGCTGCAGAGTGGACAGGCTGGAGTGCTGGGGCAGTGAAGCTAGGGCCGGGTCTGACAGTGGCAGCAACATTAGAGGCAGTGGCCTGAAGGAGCTCCTGCTGCTGGGGCTGCTAGGAAGTGGAGTCCAGCCATTGAACCACCCTTCTTCAGCCTGCTGCATGCTCGGGCAGCAGGACTGGCTACACACGCTGCAGCTCCTCAGATGCAGGTGGCCGGGGAAGGGGTGGGGCTGAAGTAAACCCAGCCCAGTTCACCAGGCTGTGACAGGGACAAAAAGTCCCCATGGTGGGGGCTTTCCTTCCCCTCACACTATGCAGACCTAGGCTATGGCGCTGGAGGTCTGTTCCCCTTGCCCCACCCCATCCCACCAGGCTAACTGGCTCAGGCAGGAAACAAGCTAGGGAGCAGAGGTGTTACTGCCTCAGCTCTGTGACGTCTGGGAGTGGGGCTGGCCCTGCTTCTCTGAAGCAGACAGCATAACCCAGGGCCGCAAAGCATCCTGGGATACTGGGGGTCTGTGAGTTAACTTGAATCAGGAGGGGATCTGGGATAGAAGTTTCATAAACTCTTTTAACCTAAATCAGTTAAGTTGGATATTTCATCCATCCAGATTTATCTTGAACCAGGTTTGGTCATTTTGAAAGCAGTTTATGTACACTGAACTTGTGTTTTGTTACAGGTTTCAACTGGTGTCCAATCAACTTTACCCAGTTTATGTGTAACTTCTGTCCCTAGCCTGTTAGAACATTTCCCAAGTAGAGAAGAGATGGGTTTGTTCTTAATGTAGCCAGGGGAGACATTAATGTAGCTAGAGGTACTCCCCAGCTGGGTTATGAAAACTGTTATACTTTGCCACAGTGAATCAAGAGTTAGTGGTTAGGACACTTTCCCAGAGGTGTAGGAGTAGGGTCCTGCATTACTGGCCCTGCTTACAGAACTTTTTACATATTTTATACAATGACTCTATTATAAAATATGTAACTGGTCCAGGGAGTAGGAACTAGAACCCAGCCCCCAACCCAGGAGGAGAGAATCCCAACAAGCAGGCTACAAAATTGCACTACCCTTTTTCTGGCTACAAGAATCTTGGATTCTTTGCTGCATGGAGGCACATCTTCAACAGGTAGAGAGCAGACAGTGTCTCAACGTAGTACAGCGTGGTAATAAGGGTACTCTTCTAGGAGGCGGGCCATTGATTGAGGCCCTTCAAACTTTGGAAGTACCTGAATGTCTTCCATTTTTTAGCTGAATGCCATAACCTTTAGGAGGGACCAATACCAACACCATTTAAAGTGACCATAAACAATTTTTTTTGCAAACCCAATCCATCTGATACCTATCAATCTACTGTGAATGTACCTACAGACATCTTGGGCAATGTAGGTTGCCTATCTTTGAATCCTGGATTGCCTAGTCTTTGAATCCTGATAAAGTATAGGTGTGTGATGAGTGTCAAACTGTTCAGAACCACCCTGGTCTGGGTTTGTGCAGGAGCTGTACTTTAAAGAGCTGAGAGACATCTAGAGAACTTCAGTATGAAACTGGGAGTTGCCTGAGTTTTCTACTCTGAGGCACTCAAAAAGGTGAGGAAAGTTTTTTGGATCAGTTCTGGACTTTGCCACTGCACTTCTGCTTAAGTTTTTTTTTTTTTGTTTTTTTTGTTTTTTTATGGAAGTAAACATTTTCTTTAAACAGAAGGAAAAGATAAAGCATAACTGCATGCAAATCCATTATGGTAATGATGTCTAGTAAAGACAATTCTTGTATACTAAGTCTGTGTTTTGGTTCATACAGTTTGGCAAAAAAATGACCATCTTGAATTTAAATATACAGGTTTCTTGTCAATAAATAAAATTTATCATATAGCTGCAATGCAGGCATTGACCATCATTGAGAATTAGTATTTACCTGAGGATCGTGCTTTGCTGGCATACCAGGTGTCAGCTCTATAAATATCTAGTATTAGAGGCTCACTGATGCATCAGTTTATATCGTATTGGCACTGATAAAAGGAAAATTGACATTATTGGCAATCAGCTTTTTTTGGCTGATGTAGCTGATAGTGTTGCTGACAAATGCCGTGTGCATACGCGCAGCTGCAGCATGCATGTGGCCAGCCCAGCAGCTTGGACAGCAGCATCCAGCTAGTAAGTCTGGTGGAGGGGAGGAAGGGGCATGGAGGGGAGGCAGATCGAGGCCTCCACGATAAGGGAGGGAGCAGAGCTGGGGCAGGGACAGGTGCTGGTCAGCCAAGATGGGGTGGGGAATGGAGCTGCAAGTGGCTCGCCCCAGGAGGGCAGCTCCTGCCATTGCATGCACCCCCGGGGCAGGCATAGGGGGAATGTGCACCCCCAGATCTGTGCATGGGGTGAGGGTGGGCTGCTGCTGCAAACTGGGGCCAGGGGCGGTGCCAGGCTCTTGCCAGCAGGGGTGGGCCTAGGCCAGGACTGCACTCAGGGCAGGCAGGAGCACTGGAGAGAAGAGGTCATGGGGGGGGGTGATGGCAAATTCTGGTGTGGCTGCAGCCCACCCTGTAGGCCCCCCTCCCAGCACAGCTGCTGCCCACTCTGAGCGCAGCCCCGGTCCAGTGCCCCCCACCAGGAAGAGCCCGGCTCCACCAGAGTGGGCAGCCCGCCCTCACCCCACTCACAGATCCAGGAGGCACACACCTGTGCCTGCCCCTATGCCTGCCCTAGGGGCGCATGCAGTAGTGGGAACTGCCCCCTGTACTACCCCAATGAGCTGCTCACGGCTCTG